AGCCGCAGCCCTCCCCGGAAAGCCCTGCAAGCCCGGGGGGGTTAACTATTACAACGAGGAGATTTAAGGCCAGGAGGGACCATTGGAAGATAACGCGGACTACGTGCTGCAGGGAGGGAACTCCTGTCCCTTAGGAAAAGGGCAGCCAGCAGCCGACGTGTTTCTCAGAGACAGCTTCAGATCTTTGGTAATAAGACGAGCTTCTGCGGAAACGCGTAAGCTGCTTGTCAAATTGATGATCAGTGAAAGCAGTTACTGGTGAGAGTTAAGCTAATGGTGTAAACCTAGGGGAAAAACGCAACCTGTATTCTACTGTAAATTAAGTCTTCTTAAAATCTGCTTTGTTTCACAGCAAAACAGCTCAAATGCGCATAGCTCGGGACAGACGGCAAGCGCTGGCTGCTACGTGCATACTTAGAAGAGTGCTCCCAAATAAATCTACAAATGACCTTCATTTGGTTCCAAACCCGTCTGAAACCTACAGAGCAGGCATCTCGCCTGTCACCCCCCGTGGTGCAAATAACCGTGGGTAAACGTGGCAGCAGACGTCTCTTTCTAGTTGTGGGTTATATAGCTCAGATGTTAGGGAATGACTACAAAAACAATTTAGTCCACATTAAAAACTCTGACATTCATTCCTCTGGAGTATGAAAGAGGGATCTATAACCATTGACACTGACCTAGATCCTGAAGAACGGTCAGGAGTGTGGAGCTGGAAGGAAGTAGTGACACCAGTTGTCGGGTCTGGTCTGAGCTCGTCTATCCCAGCATCGTGCGACAGGTCGAACCACTGTTTGCTTCAGATAACTCTGGGAGAAGAGTAGCTGCGAGACCAGCTGGAGGTGGAGTTCTGGGAGAGCAGCAAGGGCTCCTTGTGTGTTTGGGGCAGTGGGTTCGGGTCCTGTGAGCCAAAGCCAACTGGGCTTTCGAGCTTCATTTCTAAGGGGAGGAACAGAGACCAAATATTGTCACCAGGAAGCATGCCAGAAAGGACAAAGCATGCACCAACCTTTCTGCTTTTTTGTGACATTAAGAGTGCTACTGACTGTGTCCGAAACTGTGCTTTCTCCTAAAATATAGCCTATGTTCTTTTCACTTGGAAGGTGGTTTAGGAACTAGAGTTACCAGGATAGACAGTTTTAAAGGCTAAATTACTTGTATAAAATACTAAGCAGCTCTGCATTTTCCTCTATGCAAACTATTCTAGTTAGGGGGCGGGTGAGGAAAGTGTCTTTATCCTCAAGAAGGAATTCAAAGCTGCAAACCTCTCAAGGGCTGGACATTCTGAGACAAAAAAAAAAAAAAAAAAAAGTAAAAAAGCCCAAACTCATTAGTGAGAAGGTTTTTTTAGAAGTTCTCGAGTAAAGCAATGGAAGAGAGAGGCATTATTGTTCACGTGGCAGCCAACACTGCCAGTCCCAGCTGAAGAGTAGTTTCCACTGGCTTCATAGAACCAAAATTCTCCTTTTGATAGTCATCTCAAATCTGATGAATCTCTTCCATTTGTACCTGGTCTGACCACTGCTGCAGTGTTTGTTTTTGCACTTTAGCCTTTGTGGAGAGGCAAGGAGCAGAAAACAGAATTACTCCATCCATTTTCTCAGAGTTGGCCTTGGTCATTAGCACAGGAAACAGGGCTGTAAATATGCAGAAGAGGAGGAAATTCAGTGTTTTAAGGGTGCTAAATCGGTTAGAACCCCCTTGAATCTGGGCTGAAAAAAATAGAAGTGGTGCCAGCAACACTGACTGGTGAGGACACTGACAAATGGAAAAGCTCCCCATGATGGGTGCAGGTGGGGCGGAGAACCATATAACATCAAGAACTGATTTGAGATAAACTTTTGTTTCTTTAACGCCAGTTGCTATGGCCATGACCACGACCATGGTAGCAGCAGCTACATCTTGAAATAAAGGAATTGGTAATGAAGGAAGACAGTGTCATGTGTTTCCTCCCCCGTCTTTCTGTGCTATGCCTCACGCCATACAGTGATTTTATTGCAGAGACATTCAGAATATCGGACAAAGTTACGTGAGGACACTTCTCTACTCCACATCTTTAACCAGGTTTATCAGCAGTGCTCTTGTCTTCGTACATCTCTTGTACATACTCTTGTATCCATCTCTGTGCTACAACAGTGCAGTGGCATGAAAAAAAAAGGCTCAAACAATATAATTCCTGCTACAAGTTTCTTCCAGCTTATGCAGAAAATGTGTTTATGTGGTAATTTATAAATCCAGTATTAGCTTCAGCAAATGCCTTCCTCTTCACTCCCAAAAGAAAATGCCCTAGTTCAGGAATTACAAACGTTCCACTTAAAGGTTAACCCAAACTTACTGCATCGATGCTAGAAAGCAACAATGAACATCCCCGAAAGTAAAATGTTTTGTTTTGAATGTGATACAGTAGATCATTCAAAAAAACCACAACAACCCAACTTTTCAAGCTGAGCGTTGTTGCTTGCTTTGACCAGGAGATGGAGAGGAAAGCACAGCAAGAGCCTGGGACTTGACAAAAGTCCTTACGGAGGTGCTGCACAGCAGGTTGAAGCCAATGTTTGCAAAACTGTGCTCTCCCCTGGGCTAAGCCACTAATAAGCGTTGAGCAACTAGGAGGCATCGTGCTCTGGAACACCCAGGAGGGTAGCTAAAACCAGTATTTGGTACATCAGTAACCGGGAGGGTGAAGAGAGGGAGGCTAAGTCCCTCTGCTGGAGGTATCATGTACATACAGAGCCCTTTACCAGGCCTCTTAGAGAATGGTTAAAAAAAGTAAGGTAGCAAGCGAGAATCGACACAAAGGAAACAGGATATCATGCAGTCGTTCGTGGTACTCTACAACTTTGCATAAAATAGGGTGTCCAAACACAGAAGTCTTCTGAGCTGAGGAGGAAACAACCTAACACTGAAGGACACTTACAACTAGCTCTAGGGCTGTGCTGGAGGTGGGTGGAGAACAACCAGGTCCAGCAGCTCAGTTGCTTGGATCAGCTGCTGGTGGGTGCTCGTGCCACACTATTACCGTGCTGTCTGACTCCAGCTCTAGTGTCAGCCTGAGAGTTTGGGCCTCCAAAAATAAAAAAACACCCATCAATTCCCCCATCTACAACCTTTCCACCCTTCATGGTCATTGCAGGAGGTTGCTGTGCTGTGGCCAGACTGTAATCCAAAGACTCAAAACCCAAAAGGCTAATTAAAGAAATAGGAACATGGTTTTCCAGCCATCACTGTCACTATCAGAGAACAAGCAGAATCTTTAGCAAAAAAAAAACCCCTCAAAACCATTAGACCTCACCCCAAAGATAACTGGGCTGGATTGCATCACATGCTGTAGGGAATTCTCCATTTATCAGGAGTTTTCCTGTCTTAGTTTCTAAAATGGCACTACATTCTTCCAGGTGCCTGGGTGCATTGCTCCCAATTAAACCCCAAGTGATTAGGACCCTGAAAGCTTCTGATTTTCATGACTTGGGCCATTATTTCTTGCTACCTCTGCCATTTAGCACTGAGCTACATCACCCACAGATTCTGTGGCTGAACCTATGGTACGTCTCGCACTGCAAGGATCCCAGTGCGATCTTTGCACCTTGGACCTGCCTCTGAAGTTGCACTTCACTGCCAAACCACACAGCACTGAAGCAGAAGCTGCATTGACCAAGGCACAGGTAGCTGTCTGACATTGTTTGACAGTGGCTTTTGGAAAGTGTAACTGCAGCAACAATAGCCAGCAGAGATGAATATTCCATTCCATTGCTGCTGTTGGCTTTTCTGAATATAAGAACTGCAAACACAGTTTGCCAAACTTTCTTGTTTTAACTTACTCAGCTTTTCCTTTGACTCACTAATGGGTGCTATGCCTCTTCTCAGTTAAGTGGCACCCACTGTTTGGGGGGGTGAGGGGAGGGAGGGAACACTTGCCTGCCTGTCAGTGATTCCCTCCATTTGTGGATGCCTTGCATCAATTTGACCACAGAACTGAAGCCCTTCCAGGCATGTTTCAGCACAGCCATGGAAATACGTAAATCTGCTGTGACAGCAGCTGTGGGGTGAGAGTTCTGGTCTTAGAACAGGCCAATAGTCACCAACTCATTTCAGCTTGGTGGCTTCAAAGTTTGGGGAGGCTCACATTTTTCTGATAAACTTAAATTCAGTGCATTAATTTCCAGGGAGGTTCATGTGATATCTAGGGAAGCTGTCTTTGCTGGCACAAGACAGCAGTCTTAATTACCTGGGAAGACAGACAGTAGTAGCTTGGGAAAAGGTCCTTAAGGACCTTGTAAAAATTAAGGGACTCTTATGGCTCTAAACAAAAAAAAATCCTGCAACTCAGCACTGGAACAACCTTCAGCGTTCACTTGCGTACGTAAGGGGGGAAATACAGTACCGGAACAGTTTGAAACCCAAACAAAACAGTCGTGCAAAAAAAGGAACCTTGGCCTAACTGTCTGTAGATATACTATTATCAGAGAAACAGAGCTGTAATATAAATGTACAATGTACCCATCTACCTTCCCTCCCTGCAGGGGAGAAGTGATCGCCAGTGCCTTTTAGAGAAAAAGTCTTAGGCTGTTGGGTACATGGGGAAGGATAGAGCAGGGAGGAAGAGGAATTTGCTTTAAGAGTTTGTTTGGAATATATTGAGCAACCTTTAAGCAGTAAGCTGAGAATATCCTTCCCCCAGTTCCCAATGATAAAATTCTTACTGCAAGATCAGAGCCAGGCCTGCAAAATCACACTGCCTAGACTTTGTGCGAGTTCTGCTACAGGGTTTGTCTCCCCACAGTGACCCTGTACAAAAGGCCAATGGTCCGAAAACAAATAGCAATACCATTTCCTATCTGTTCATCAATTCTCAGAACAGGAAGCATTGTGCTAGGAGGAAGATCCTACCTCTTCGTAGTGACACTGCGGGACTCTCGGAAGCAGAGGCAGAGCAGTGACTCTGGCTGCTGAGGATCCCTGGAGATGATGGGGAGCTCACAGAAAGCCGGGTGGTGCAAGAAACCTGTGTCACCCACAAACGCAAGAGCCACTTTGAAAGTTTTCGGGAAGACCACGCACACCATTGTTCTGCTTACCATCACTGCCATCACAGGATCTACAGGTACTGCTGGCGGTACTTCGGTACCGACTCTGTTACACTCATCAGAGTCATGTTTACTCAAGTTCTTTGGGAGAGAAAAAAATCTAGGGGAAGGGATCTTTACAAACTGCTGAAGGGACTTGTTGATGGAAAACCAATAACCTGCAAATCAAAACATTCCTAGCTACAACTAGATTTTTCAGTTGTCAACCAATAAGATGTTGAACTTGGGCTTTTCAAGGAGTTGATGAATACTGGTAATGATTTTCTTGGAGCATGATTTTTTTTGGTGATAATGAAGAGATATATTAAAAACATGCTTGATGGGAGAGGTTTTCTGATCAGTCTGAGCACCCTATCGAGCTTTACTTTTAGGTATCAGTGACTTGTCCTGTCAACAAAGTACAGTGGGATTTTACAATGCTAGTTTCAGATGAAAGTTTTCATAAGACTTAACGGGAAGGTTCTTTCACCTTTCCAAACTCAGTCAAATACTTAGAAAAGCCAACTCTAAAAATGTGGGATCTGAAAATGCAGCTATAATCCTTCTCCTCCCTACTCTACATTAATTACGCATACTGTTGTTTGCTTTTGTTAGGACAGATGAGGCACATCACGAGGCAGTGATCTTGAATCTATCGGGGATCTCTGCATCTAAGCAAACAGGATTGTGTTTTCTTTCCAGTTAAATGTCATACTCCTCTACTATTTCATCTGTCACCACTATAATCAGGGAAATTGGTTCATATAAGCTTCAGGGCAGAAATTGCCACCTGTGCTTGACCTGATTAGGAGGGCTGCTTATATCCAGCACAAAAGTGGGGTTAATGTCTTCAAACATTCATTTTTCTGCTGTATGCAGAAGGGCAGTGATGCTGAGGGAAAAGCAACCCGAGAGATCTCCCCATACAGATGGGCTCTGCAGCTCATTCAGGCCCTGCTTCCCAGTCATGTTATTTATCCACTGTCCTAGGGAGAGGAAGAGTGTGAAAACAAGGATCAATGAATGCGAACACAGCCATGAATTTGGAGATCTATTCCCGCTTAAGAAGAGAGAGACAGTTCTTGGGCTGGCACAGACAGGGCCTCGCATTGGCATGTAGCAGGGCAGACATTTCTCTGTGAGGCACAGACCAGAACTCCAGGGCTATGAGTGACATCCCCGGGCACCTTCTCACATGTCCTTCTCCTTTCTCTCCTTCAGGGAACAGCAGTGTGTCAGCGACAGTAGGTAACAGCTTTGTGTTCGCCTGCCCTCCCGGATCAAACATGACTCTGGTAACATGGAAAATAAACCCCAAGGCTGGGGGCCACTGCTCCTTGGGATACAGGGCTGATCAGAACAAGACATACAGAACAAACTGCAGTGACAACATAGACTGGAAGTTCAGACCAGATCAGAATCCTGCCCTTGAGATATGGAAAGTGGGAATAGCTCATGAGGGAGATTACACCTGCGAACTAGTAGGAACAGACGGGAATTTCCACGAGGTGTACCAGCTGACCGTGCTAGGTAAGGGACTCCTTCCTCATTTTACAGTTCTCCAAAGGACCGTGGCTGGGCCTGGACATACAAAGCTCCTCTCCCCATGCACCGGGGGAAGCGTGCTGTAAGAAGAGGAGCTTTCTTGCTGGGACTAACTGTCATGCATTTCATTGCTAGTAGTTCCATGTCTCCCTTCTCCTTATTTCCAGAAACTCTTCTCCCTTCTGCTGCCCCCTTTCCCACTGTCTAGTTAGAAAGGACAGGTGTGAAGCAATTTCCAATATACTAACAGAGGCCTCCGCATATGTTTCCAGTTGTCCTATAGAATCAATCGTTAATACACTACTTTAACAGAACTAAAGCATGTGACAGCAACACTTCCAAGTGCTGAGATATTCTATCAATCACAGGGTGGTCTTACCCAGACAGTTAGAGAGGACCCATTTCCTCTTATGCTGGCATTCAGATACACTTTAAACCACGTGTAAACCTTTGTCTCTTGTGACTCTGGCCCATGTCGCTGTGATGGGATGGCCTCTCCAACCTTATTTTCCTCTTTTCACTGTGTTTGTTTTGGGTAGAGAACATCCTATCCCAGCTGTGGCAAACTAACTCCACGTACCTCCCCTTCCTGATGCTTTGCAGTGCCCCCCAGGCTGACCCTGTACTGTGACGACCACGGGAAGCCCGTGTGCGAGGCAGCGGCAGGGAAGCCAGCTGCTCAGATCTCGTGGGTCCTTGAGAGCAACTCCACCCTCGAGGAGGAAGGCCATGACAACGGGACAGTGACTGTTCTCAGCAAGCTCACAGCATACAGCACCAACATGACGCATACAACCTGCGTTGTGTCCCACCCAGCTGGGAACCAGAGCAAGTCCATAACCTGTTATCCCTCAGGTAAGCTTCCCTTTGTGCGTTCAGTGTTCAAAGCCACATTGAGCCCTCTGTTCATGCACTAAGACAAACATCAGTGGCACTGGCAGGATTGTAACGGGAACCCTATAGCTGAGTTGAAGTTTCCAGTGAGAAACTTGACAGGAGGGGGAAGGATAAACAAAAGTGCTGTCAGAACTGTAAAGTCCTTTGTGAAATTCTAGGACAGGAGATGGATGTAGTGCCTTTCCCTTCCACCAATAGGGCTGAATGGGAAGTCAGGATTATTCCAAAATTCATGACATACAACTTCCCAGCAATGTCTTCAAGTTCACCACCTAAAGTCTTCACCTACCACTCAGTTGGAAGAGAATTAGAGCTGAAATTTGCTGGGGTGCACACGCAAGGCCTGCAGCTGGACTATGGGAAGTGGTGAGGAGGATCTAATTAGTGCCTATCCAGCAAAAGACAAGGCTGCTCCATCAAGGGCATGGGGGGACATTGCTTATTCCCAGTTCTGTGCCTGGCACTGGTTTCCAGCTAGCTTAGGTCATCCTCTGAAGTAGAGCACAAAGAGAGCATTGTCTAGAAGATGCCTTCCTGTCAGAGGCACAGGGTAAGTAAGCGGTCTGTGAGATGTACCTAAAAGAGCAACTGTTTCTCTTTAGAGAATAGTACATGGTTTCTTCACTGTGTCATCAGCCTCGCTGCTCTCCTGGGCCTCCTTTTCCTGCTTGCTGTTCTTCATCTCTGCATCTCCTGTCATAGCAGGTATGTATGGGACATGATACACACAAACCCCTTTGGCCAGTCCTGGGGAAGTTTAGAAGGGCTTCTGGTACCACATGTGTGGTCACCTCAGTCTGTCTCAAACACACCAGTTCAGGACAGGTTTGTGGAGGTTTGTCCGAGGTCTATAACACCCACAGCTGGGGCCGAGGGGGAGGACATCCACACATGAGTGTTAGGGACCTTTTTCCTGCTGCCATATTTGTTTCAGAGGCAAAAATACAATGGGAATGGTTAGTTTTTTCCACCTGATTTGGGGATCTGAACAAAGATTGCCAGGCTATGAAGATTAAAGAGGCAGCAAAATATCTTTTTGGGCTTGGAGCCAGAGTTTTAGTCCATTTTGTCCTACTCAAAGAAAGCCAAGGCCAATGTAGAAATGCAGGAAGCATTGCAGGAGAGCAGAACTATCCTAACTGCTCGGGAGTTCTGGCAGTAGTTTGGCAGCTTGGCTGATTACTCTATTTGAGTTAGCCTCTCTGTCACAAGGTGCAATTGCTGCCCAGAACTACGGTACAAACACCACAGAGGCAGAACTACCTACTGTGTTCCAAGCCACTTGAGCTCCAACACTTTGCTGGGGCTCTTGGTAGCTCTCGGTTTGGTGCTGGCTGGAGCATGGCCAGCTCTGATTATGCTCATGTGAGATCGTAGAATCATAGAATGTTTTGGGTTGGAAGGGACCCCTAGAGGTCATCTAGTCCAACCCCCCTGCAGGGAGCAGGGACACCGCTAACTAGATCAGGTTGCTCAGAGCCCCGTCCAACCTGGTCTTGAATGTTTCCAGGGATGGGATGAGATTACAGACATAAAGCCTGAAGTTCTTTTGTTTCTCTACCAAATAAAGGGGAGGAATTCTGTTCTTACATTCCTAGAACCCAAAATTGCATTCCCAAAACCAGCCTCACACTTGGAGTAATGGTGTCTTGTTTCCTAGGACAATTAGAAGCCAGTACAAGCCAAAGCATCTTCCACTTGCAGAGCTCCCTGAGCCTATTTCTAACTCAGCACCTGAGCAGAGATGAAAGAAACTCCCAGTATGCCTCAGTCAGCGATGTGACATGCAGCAGGGACTCACCAGTACCAAAGCGTTCAGGAGAAAGAAGCAAACATCTGCAACATAGCCAGCGTAACTGTGCAGAAACATGGCATGCAGGCCAGATCCTACCTGACCCATGTCTGCTTTGTCTTCCATCATCTCTCTAGTGCAACTATAGATGTTGTTATCACTCATGCAAGTATCAATCTTTTTTTATAAAACCAAATCTAACATATGTGCAATAGGAAATTAATTCATGTTGTATAAAATGAAGTCACACTTTCAAATACATTGTATCCTAGTATTTAAGTATCATGTCTTGTGATTTAAAATACTTCAGAAGAAATTTTCTTGCATATTAGTGAGCAGCAACCTTCCCAGGATGATCACACAAGACTGAAGCTAAATTTGAGCAACTCTCATTTTCACAATAAGAATTTTGAAGTGTTTCATCAAGAGCTACAAAAAAAAGGAGAGAGAATATTTAAGCTTGAGCAGTTATTGCTACATGAAGCACAGATACTATCCTGATATCTAAGCCTCATACTCAGTTATCTCTTCGTGTAATCCAGAGAGCTGCAGACCACAGAACACAGCTCTCTGATATTAATTTATTTAAACACATCTTACTGGTCCTATCACAAGGAAGCCCTTGAAGTTTAATCTTTCGTGTGATTACATACTGCCACTACTAAGCCTCTAAATATAGCTGTGCCTCTTCACCGTTTCTTAACTTCTATTCTGAATAGATATTACTAGAGCTGAATATTACTATGCACCTGAAATTTCAAAAGGAACCACAGGTATCTCAGGCCCCCCTCACTCCTTCGTGCTCGGCAGGAATCCACATCTCATCCTTGCTACTGTACAGAAGACTATTTCAAACTGTAATGCATCTAGAGACCTTTTCTGCTTACTACAGTCATTCAAGTTGCTAAATCTCTGCAATGAGATGTTAATGATATTCCTGTGAGACGTCAGCTTACGTAAGGGCAGAATTGGGAAGGTACTCCAGAGGCACCTTTGCTAGGCATGCTACCCTGTGTTTGTGCATTTCATATGCCCAGGTTAAAGAGCCATTAGGCCTTTCTACACTCTTCACAACCCTTCCCATCCCAGACTAAGTCTTTTTTTTCCCCTTCTTTTTTTTTCTTGCCGTTAGTTATTCAAACATTTATTTAATTTTTGGGGTATCAGTTACACAGATCTCTAGCCAGCAAGCTCGACTTAGAATTGGGGCATTAATATGTTACAGAGAAGGTAAAACACAGAAGCCAAGATACTAAACTCCCCTGGGCATTGGGGGCTCTTTGGGGTGGGGGGGAGGACAAGCCTGCACATGTATCCACAAACCTCAGCTATTCTGAGGGCATCAGTGAATCACAGCCAGATTTATTAGCTTTGTTGTAGTGCCTTGTGCACAGAGACTAGGATGAATGCTGACAAGGCAGGGCAATTGCCCAGACCCCCAGGCCAGAATACCCATCTGAGGCTGAGTTAGATAGCATTGCAAGTGCAGGGAGGAGGGGAGGGTAGAGAACAGGGAACTCCATGGCTTCTACAAAGCCAGAAAATTATCCTGATATTTGTTGTTCATTCACTGCTCCTACCCGTGACTGACCACATCTCAAGCTTCGTGAGCCTCACGTCGCATCTGAGCCAGCTACTGAAAGAGCCAGGGCCTAGACCTCACCTAAGCTTCGGTAATAAAAAAATAAACCTTTTGAATCTCAGCACACTAACGTACAGAATAGTTATCTAGCTCTGTACAGAAAAGGAAATGCCATGTCACTGCACTCCCTCCCTTGTGCAGCATTTCTACTGCTATCTTGCTGCCCCTCACCCTTCCCTGGTGCAGCCGATAAACTGGTGTAAATCACTGCCAGGGGTGGTTTCTGCAGAATGACACCTGCAGGATGCAGGCAATGATTCTGCTGGCACAGCGCAGTGAAACTGCTCCTTTCATGTTTACAGACACAGCCCCATTCCATCCATCTGTTGTCACATACGGTGGTTTGGTCACAACAGAGTCTGAACTCTGTAGAGCTGACACACAATGTGAATGAACTCAGAGACAAGAGCTAGAAGAATAAACAATTTGGAGGCTAGCAAAATTACTGCTAATTCTCTGTGGTAACCTAACGGCTTTAGGAAGAGGCTAGCAAGCAGAAAACCACACTGACTTCAGTTGTTGATACTCGTAGCTATCCCGGTAACTGAGTTTCCACAGCGCATATCCACTGACCGCACGCAAGATGTGCTCAGCTGTATCTCATCTCTGCAGCAGCTAAGCAAGCGTCCAGCACCCACACGTACAAACCTACACATGCAAACACACGGCTTCTCCACCAGCAGTCTCATTTTACATTAAGACCATCTGCAAAGCCACAACTCTGCTTGGCTCTTACTAAGTATATTACAGACAAAGGGAGACCACAGAGAAGAGCCATCTTCCTTTCCTTTGACTTGCAGGGCAAGTCAAAATTTCAGAGATACCAACAAAGATGTGCCCTAGGTTAGCAACAGCCCACGGGTGTCAGTGGTATTCAGGACTTGTTCTTGTTGAGCTCTGCTTTACATTTCTTTTCCTCTTCTCCAGGTTGGTCAGGTCTCCAGCCCCAAAGAAAAAGCTCTCACATCCCTTGTTGCAGTTTCCATTCAAATGGCTCAGAGTCTCTCTATCCTCCACTGGGGATAAAAGCAATCAAACTCACATACCAGAGTCCACAGGGTTCTGTAACCAGCCTTGCCCCTACTCCTTGGTCTATTTACTCTCAAAGCCACCACAAATCCTTCTGCAGGAAGGAAGCTAAAGTAACCTAAACTTTCTACAGTTAGAGTTTCAGCCCAGTCTCCTGGGCAACTACCGGAGCAACTATGAACATTTCTTCCTTTCTCTCACTGGACACCCAACTGGTGTGTTCACCACTCGATAATGACAGATTTGACTGGAACATGCTAGACTGAATTTATAGCTGTTAATTGCTGTTTAGGTGTTAATCAGCAGACTTCTGGGCTTGCTTGCCTTACTGTATATTAGAGTCCAGTGTTCATTAGTGGCTGCTTTCTGCCTCTGCTGCTTGCTGCGGTACTTATTATTTTACTCTGCTGTGCCTGGGAACATTTTGATAACAGCCATGGCGATGTGCCTGGGCTGGCAGATGTCCAGGACATCATGGCTGTTTCTCTGCTGCTGCACTGGACAGGCTGGAACTCCAGTGTGAGCTCGAATCAAAGGGATTGCAGCCTGTGGATGATTCCATGCGGGAACAGGACAGCACGAAGTGTCTGTGGCTGTGAATAAGCCCATGCCAGAGCAGGTACATCCCAAAGCATCTGTGGCCGTGGTTATGTCTGTGCCGCAACAGGTATACCTCTGGAGGGATTGTGGCCCAAGGGTAAGTCCACACTGGAGAAGGTACACCCCAAAGCATCTGTAGCTGTGGGTAAGTCCACACGACAGCAGGAACTCCTTGAAACTTCATTGGCTGTGCACGAGGCTGTGCTGGAACACCATGGATAAGTCCACAACAAAGCAGGTACACGCTTGAAGGGACTGTGACCATGGGTAGGGCCATGTTGGAGCAGGTCCGCTCCTAAAGGGACTGTGGCTGTGGGCAATACATGTTGGAGAAGGTCTATCTCTGAAGGGATTGTGGCCCATGAATAAGGCCGTACTGGAGCAGGTACACCTCAAAGCAACTGTGGATAAGTCTATGCTGCAGCAGGTATACCCCTGGAGAGACTGTGGCTCATAGATAAGGCTCCACTTTGGAGCAGGTACACCCCTAATGAGCAGCGGTCCATGGATAAGTCCAAGACAGACCAGGGAAGGAGTTCACTGCAGTATTAAACCCTATGGTCTGGTCCAAAGAGACCAGTGGTGGAGAGTGTAGTGGATATATCTTCAAATTGTTCTAAGCCGTGGTTTGAGTTTGGCATGTTATAGGAATTGCCATCGCAGGAACCACCTGAACCAAGGGAAGATGAGCCTTACAAGAAGCAGAGCAAGTGCAGCAGTGACCTAACCTGAGCTGGCTTTGGTGCCCAATATCTCCACACAACACACTGCTTCTCCTGTCCTGAGAGACCACCATAACAGATGGAGCCCAAACTCATGGACTAAGTGAACTCAGTGAACGTTTTATGGACGTTTATGGACATTTTACAGGGGGGTGGTCAACAAACTAAGGAAATCATGTCTGTGTGTATATATCAAAGCATAGGAAGCGGGGTGGTAGTTAATGAGGATGTATTGGATAGTGTGTGACCTGAGCATGATGTAAATGGCATGGAATAAGGGTCGGAGAATATGCTGGGTTAGGGTGGGGTATGGTTAATTTTTCTCATAGTAGCTAGTATAGGGCTATGTTTTGAATTTGTGCTGAAAACAATGTTGGTAACACAGGGGTGTTTTCATTATTGCTGAGCAGTACTTACACAGAGTCAAGGCCTTTTCTGCCCCTCCCACCACCCCACCATTGAGCAGGCTGGGGGTACACAAGAAGCCGGGAGGGGGCACAGCTGGGATAGCTGACCCCAACTGACCAAAGGGGGTCCCACACCATATGATGTCATGCCCGGCAGTAAAAGCTGGGGGAAGAAGGAAGAGGGGGCATTCAGAGTTATTACTTGTCTTCCCAAGTAATGTTACACATGACGGAGCCCTGTTTTCCTGGAGTTGGCTGAACACCTGCCTGCCGTGGAAAGTAACAAATGAACTCCTTATTTTGCTTTGCTTATCATGCAGCTCTTACTTTGCCTGTTAAACTGTCCTTATCTCAACGTTTTACCCTTTTAATTCTCTCCCCCATCCCACTGGGGGAGGATGCAAGTGAGCAAGGGTCTAGACGGGGGGTTAGTTGTTGGCCAAGGTTAAAGCATGACAGCAGGAAAAGATTGCTTGTCTTTTTACAGGATTTTGGTTTTTTTAAACACATATACTAGTTTCAAACTATTGTTCTCAAAAAAACCCCCCACCCCACCAACATCAAGTAGTGGGGAAAAAGTTCTAACAAATTAAGAGACTGTACTAACTTTTCTCCCCACACCCCTAGATAAGAACTGACTTTTCTAAGTTTCAGTCCTTCCCCAGCAGGCATGCACAACTGAGAGACCACAGACTGACCACAGACACCTTTTTTCATCACTTGGTGAGCCTGCCCCAAAAAGAATTACATAAATACCCTCTCACAACCTGTCCACTTGCAGAATGATCTCAGAGAGACCGCTCCAGTACCACCAGCTGTGTCTCTTCCACATTACCACTCTTTAAGTGTTACAGGTCTCTAGTACAAGTCTCTTCATTTCCCTACTATTTCTGCTTGAGTATGATGAACAGGAACGCTGGGAGACCAAAAGATGCTTTCCTTTCACAGAATATTTCTGAAGCTTGGTACAAGGATACAAAGCCATGTCATCCCACTTGACAAGCTATCGCACCAACCTGCAGAGCATCTGCTTTTCTTCTACATGCTACGATTCATACAAGTGGAAGCAGCAAG